GGACTACATTAGGCACAGAGTTAGCAAATTGTTCATATTATTTTGCAGGTCTAATAAGAAAAGCTATGGCTGGCCCTGCAATTAAAACAATCCATTTGCTCACCCTTCCTCCTATTAGCATGTGAACTTCAAACCTACAAAAAGCAGCAGACTGAAATCTCTGGAGACCAGTGGCAAGAGGGTAATCTTGTCCCCTACATAATGTCCTGTCTGTGGTCTCCTTGTCTCACAAGAAACAACGTGTATTTTACAAGAAGATCACTAAACAAGATAGCAATCTCAATGTAAGTCCTCATTAGGGCAACACAGGTGCATTTACTTAAGTACAACTAGTGGGGACCAACAAAAAATTTTCCATTGGGAGCATGCTTTCATTTGGCCCCACGGAAGGAACTTTACAATGGGGCAGTTACATTGAACTCCACCTACCATCATGTTAAAAATAAACAAAAAACCCCCAACCACATTAATACATCTTAGTCTGTGTGGCAGCAGGGCCTGATTGCTCTGAGCAGACTGTAGGTGGTCCCTACCTGAGGGAAAACTGACTGATGGGCACCTACTTAAATGGGCAGGCTGGTGATGAACGTTTCTAGATGCCGGAGTGCGAGATAACTCAGTCGAGCTTTCTTACAGTCAGCACCGACTCCAAAAATCAATACACAATGCTTTCTTCTACTGCAATAAAATGTAGAATTATGTAAAGCTTGGAGACAAGATTATATTTTCAAAGTCATAAACCATGCTGTCTGCTCACAAATGACTGTGGAGGACAGAGCTTGTAAAGTGTCCTTTGATCATCTGTAGGCTCAAAGGAAAACAAAAAGGTTTCAAATGGAATTGTTGCCACTTGCATGTCTGTCTATCCAACTGCATTTTAATTTCTCTAGAAAACTCACCAAACATGAATTATGTATGTCTTAAAATGTTATAAAGGCGTAATAGAAGCTTAGCTGCCCAACTGAATTATTCTATTCAGACATCTACTGGTATTAGAGACTGTAAAAACAGTTTTAGGTCTCACAGTATCATACTATCACCATAGAGATCCAAGGAGTTTTTCTAACACAAGAATTGACAAAAGGTGTCTGTTTTAATGAATGAGAATCAGAGAGACAAAGCATGAGATCATAAATGTTTCACTAAAACACCATAAAATTCTTCCAGCTATGAGCAAAGTGCTGTTCTAATTATTTTTTCGAAGCTTTAAAAATGAAAAAACCTGTATGAAATCTCCACAACATGGACTGAGGAACCACAATGGTGCGTATGACATTTTGCCATCAAAAGAAAGTCTTAATCTGATGCTTAAATACCCCTTGAGAACTGGCACTGAAACCTATGGGGAAGTATTCAATCACCTCACTTCTTTCAGCACTTATCATTCTCCAATGCAAGAGAGGAGGAAATAAATCTCTGCATGTGCACACAGACCTCCTAGAGCCCCCTCAATGTACAAGCCATTGTGATTAACCAAAAGTTTAAAATTAAACAAAAAGCTCCTTTTCTTCAATTATGATTAAAGATCAAAGCAAGTGGATTAGCTTTTTAGCAGAATCTCCAGGTCTCAAGACTTACTATCTAATACACTGAGAGTGTCCAATTTTGTTTTGGAGATTTTGGGGGGGTAAGGGAAGCAGGAAGAAAATAAATGATCCATCAGCCAGGTGGGTAGTAAAACATAGCAAAGTGGTGTTTCATACATTACCATGACAATCAAGTTATTGAAACTGAAAAATTGTAACACAAAAGAAAAGATAAAAGATAGTTTTCCCACAGTAACTAAGCTGCTGCATCTTGTGAGGCCTGCTTTCTTCCCATTCACTCCTGAAAGTAGGAGCTGAATGCTCCCTGGGTCCACATGGCCTTCGCCTGCCAAGTTTTCAAAAGTAACTGCACAGAAACAGGTACCCTTATGTTTTGGGTTTGTGTGGTGGGGTTTTTTGTAGCAGGGGAGGGGGCCGCAGGGGTGGCTCCTGTGGGAAGCTGCTAGAAGCTTCCCCAGCTCCAAGTTGGACCCGCCGCTGGCCCAGGCCGAGCCCATCAGGGACAGTGGGAGAACAGATTTAAGAAGGGGAACTGGCAGTGAGTGGTGGGATTGGAATGTGAGAGGAACACCAACGCAGATACCGAGGTCAGTGAAGAAGGAGAGGGAGGACGGAGTAGGTTGATGCCCCTGCAGCCTGTGGTGAGACGGCAGGCTGTGCCCCTGCACTCCATGGAGGGGAGCGGGGGAGCAGAAGCCCACCTGCAGCCCAGGGAGGAGCCCACACCGGAGCAGGGGGATGCCCCCCAAGATGGCTGGGACGCCGTGGCAAAGCCCGCGCTGGAGCAGTCTGTGACTGAAGATCGGCTCAGGGAAAGGACCCACGCCAGGGAAGTTTGTGAGGAACTGCAAGGACTCACGTTGGAGATGTTCGTGGAGGACTGTCTCCCGTGGGAGGGACCCCACGGTGGAGCAGGGGACGGGTGAGGAGTCCTCCCCCGAGGAGGAAGGAGCAGCAGAGACAAGGTGTGTCGAGCTGACCCCAACCCCCGTCCCCTGTTCCCCTGCGCCGCTGCGGGGAGGAGGTGGAGAGAACCGGGAGTGGGGTTGAGGGAGGGCTGGGGGGAAGGTGTTCTAAGGTTGGGGTTTACTTCCTAATATCCTTGTTTTGTTTTGATTTGTAGTAAATTAAATTGATTTTGTTTTCCTCACCAAGTTGAGCCTGTCTTTTGCCCGTGACCATAAGTGGTGAGTGATGCCTCCCAGTCCTTGTCTCAACCCACGAGCGTTTCTTTATATTTTTCTCCTCATCCCACTGGGGGAGAGGAGTGAGAGAGCAGCTTCTTGGTGCTTTGTTGCTGGCTGCGCCTAAACCACGACACCCTAGCACACAGGAAAGATGCAGAAAGAATACTAACGTGACGTGATCACCAAAGCCTCTTGCCAGGTGAGGATTAAAAATGTTGTTTAGTTTGGTAAAGCCATCAGCACTGGCAGCTGTCACCACCAACCAGATGGGTAAACCTTGGGTACCACTATATAACGTGTCATCCCCCACAAATCCAGAAGTGCTTCACAAGCCCACACAACAACACAGTTTGCTTCACTCACAGATCCCTTCAGACATTATCAGCTGAGTAATGCACATCACCACCACATGTCATTTGAAGCGGATAAGAGCACAAAAATCTCCTTATGACTAAAATAAAGGATTTAGATAAGCAGAACATAATTACTGAGCTGTTAGAAAAGAGAGTTGCAGCATTTTAGTATTTCTTCCCCTTTACAGAAACAGTTACAAAATCAAGAGTGATTTCCACAGGCAGAGATCCTCGGTTCATCTCTTGCACACCATTGTGCCACTATCAGACACAAATCCTGGTAGCACAATGGCAAATGTTTCAGATTTGCCCCACGGAGTTAAGGATCACCGATGCCTTCAATGACGCATGTAGTAGGACCTACTGCCCACCTTGCTAAACCTAAAGAAGCTGCTGGGTGAAGTTGCAGGATTTTCAGTAACAGAAAACACAAATAGCAGACTAGTAGATCAGAGAGGAAACTACCTGATCTTCCATGAAGCTCCACAGCAATGCCTAGCACTGAAACGTAAATGTCTTTGTTTTCTTTTTAGGGTGATCTGGGCTGTTGCCAGAAACAGGACCATTCTCTTCCTGAATCCCCTAGGATTGCTAATAATATCCCAACTGAAGTTGTGGGAAATTACGTACACAACTTTTTCTTCTACTGAGACAGAAGGCCTGTAAGTAATAGGCAGTTGTTAACACATCTGTTTAAAAGAACCACATATTATGAAGTAGTCTCAAAAAAGTTGCTTTTTTAAGCCCTTGATTTTAGGTTTCTATACAGTTCAGTGAATTGTCTTGCTATTGCTCCTTCTGCACTCCTGAACCATTTGGTAAGAGAAGCACATCGGAAATTCCATGCAAGAACAAGCCTCTAGGTCATCTAGCTACAACAGCATGCATTTTGGACTTCCCTTCTCCTTGGGCTCTGGTACTGCTGGCAACTATCTTACCTAAAACAACCCAATAAAGGTTATTCAACACTGTGTCCTAAGGATTCACTTTCACTCTGCAGTGGAAAATGAACATTTAGACCACTTCAATAATAGACAGTTCCAATTAGAAGTTAGGCACAATCATTCTTACTAGCTCTCACATAACATTTAGTCTGGTGACTTCAGAGCACTTGTATGGCACATGCTGACACAGTGCAACAGTCTCGCTTTTCATTCTCAACCAATAGCTCTATAACCAACATCTAGTATCAGGGAAAGACTCAAGATCCAGTTGAAGGATCCCAACAAAGATAAGGATGCCAGCTGACCACAAAAGCACGAGTTTGTCATTCTTATAAAATGCCAAAGGTACTTTTCAGCCTCTTGGTAAGTTAGACAGTTAAAATACGATGTCTAGGGACCATTAAGACAGACAGCCCTGTTCTCCATTAGCTTTGCTGATAGTCAGGAGATTGGCTGCAACTTCCAGAACTCCATCTTAGAACAAAAAGGGTGCAATACTGAGGGGTTTTATTGCTGAGTTTTTGTTTGCTTTGGTTTTTTTTGTTTTAGCAGGCTAAACTGCACAGTGCTTTGTCAAGATTGTGTCCACTCTTGAATATTTTATCACTTTAGTGCTCATATGAAATTAAAGGGATGCACAGAATTATCACTGCAGTACTCTCATTGCATTATTTACAACCTTACAGGCTGCAGCACTTCAGCATAATATTGCTAACATAAAAAGGCAGAATTTCCCCTCAAGCCAGGTTTTTAGTTTCACAGTCTGCAGTGCAACATGATGTAAAAAGGTCTGTGAACCTCCCTTACACATCCCATCCCATCCCCTACCCCCACTTTCTAAATGCTGGCCCTCTGATGTGCAAAGAATCTGAACAGATGAACACTCCACAGCATTCAGCAGAAGTGGGATCAGTAAGCCCCTGTACCCCTAGGGAAGAATACATGGCCTTGTTTCACCATCCTGCCCACTTATTCCCACCCCACCCTTTTTCTTGCCTTGTTAAAGTCCTCTGAAGTTGCCCTCATTTCCTTCCATGTCTTGTTCAAGAGCTGAATGCAGATACAGAAGAACTCCTCAAACGATCTGTCATGGGTGAAGAACATGGGATGGAAATCATTGCAGGTCTCACTGGCTAAAAACAGAAAAACAAGGAGAGTGGAATAAAACACATACAGGCAGGAACTTCAAAAAATAAACATAGAATACAATCAGCCACGAAGTTTAGAAAACACTGTAATTGAGGAATCCCAATTCTAGTAGCAAAGTATGTCAAAACATTATCCCCAAAAGCCAGCCTTGATCTACAGTCTTAAAGATAATGAAACACCGTATACAGCCTGTCTGCAGGAGACCAGCAGCGAGAACAAGAGGAAGCAACTACCTGTTTGCCTGAATATTCTCTCAGTGGGTGTTTTGTTTGTGCCAAGTTTTGTTGTTCAGGCCAGAACAGAGAGACACATGGAAGAAGCACAAGTCTCCTCATCAAAACAACAGCCTTCCCCACAGCTAACAGCATGTACCATATTGCCTGCTGAGAACCAAACACCAAACCCCATCAGTCACAAAACAGTATTAGATCAATGTACGCATTGAAATGTGAAGCTCTGCTGACACAGCAGATGATCTACCATATTGTACATGGATATACCACAGAGGTAACCAGAGAAATCTAGACAGACACATAGGCAAGAATGTAACTGATTAAATTTGTTCTTTGAAAATAACTGGAAACCAAAGAAATGGATCTTCTGTCACAGGTCCCTTATCTGAGATGGGGAAAAAAAACCCCAATCCCAAATTTTCTGTTTTTAATCAAATGCTGGCTTTAAGGAAGGAAAAAACAAAAGAATACTATAATGATGATCCCAAAAAAGGAAAAGTACAGTTTGGCAAGACTGCTGTAAATCCCCTTGAGCAAAGAAGGGATCTTCAAAAAGTAAGGGCTGAAGCAATGCTGACCTCTGGGCACATCTGAGCAACCTGGGAACAGAAGGGGCTTTAGCCAAGGACTGCAAAGGATCCTTAATCCTTGCCATGACTTGCAGGGTCACCTCAGTAGGTTGCATATTTATGTTCTTAAAAAACTAACCAAAAAAGTCAAGTTGACTAAGCCTTTCTTCATATACCCAGTCCCCAAATCTCTCAGCTTTGGCTTTCACCTCTGTGTGACTGCTCCTTTGGACTCTTCCAGCAGTCACTTGCATGCCTATGCAGCAGCATCTTCTCTTATTTCAGGATCAAACAGCCACTGCTTAGGCAACAGCCACTGCTTATGCAAGCTTCCTCCTCTGCAAGAACAGCAGAACTATCAAGCATTGGGATAAATCACCCTTTTCCTACGGCTGGATCACTGTCTGACATCTGCTTTCTCTCAGTGGAACTGGAGAAATTAGAATTAAGACTCTTTGCAGGAGAATGTGAATGGCTCAGGCAGGCTCACTCCCTGCATGAGCTGCAAGCTCTTGGTCCTGGTACCTCTTCTAGCCACAAAATCACCTTTTCAGCACGTTTAGTTACCTCTGCCACACCAGTAGCTCTGCCATAGGAACATGAATTGTTCTTAGAATCACCTGAACCCTCAGAGAAAAAGGGTTTCAGATCTTTCCCAACATGCAGTATTCCAATTATAAAGCAAAACTCTGAAGCTTAACTGTAAATTTGAAGCTTAATTTTAACATCAGATTTACTAAGATCTAATCAATCCCTCAGCTACGTAGCAAGGATGAGAGTTAATTTTGGAGCACAGGTTTCATTCTAATCAAGTAAACTCCATTTACTTCAAAGGATGTGCAGTCAAGGGGGAATTAGTCAAAGCACAGACCTATATTTATGAGGCACGGCTCAATCCCTTTAAAAGAATAAAATGCCTCAGGCATGATTTTCAGAGCACCGTCAGCTTCCATTCATTCCACTGGAGCTGCAAGGGCTCAGCACTTCCAATAATCAGACCTTCAGCCTGTAATAATGTCAGAAAGACAACAGAACAGATTCTCAGAGGGCACTTGTCTTTAAGTCATGAAATACTATAATGATGAGAAGAAATAAAATAACACCAAGCAAAGAATGCTGACAGTACCTTCACTGTATAAATCACAGCACGAAACAAGGCAATAACCCTCAACATGCACTGGCCTTTCTGATCCTCCTCAGAGCCTGAGCTTATCACTGCTCCTGCTCATAAAAATCAATAAATCAAAATTAATGGAAAGGCTAGGGATTCTCAGAAACTTGATCATCAGGTCTAACTCATGCTCCTTATAATAATCAGCACCAAACCGTATATATGTTGACTGTTCTGCATGCAGAATCAGAGGTGCCACCTCCCCACCGCCTTTTTTTTGTAAGCAGGCAACATACTGTGTTTTATGCCTTTTCAGTTTGAAAATGAAAGAGTAAAAATCACTGTTACTGATGTAAATGGAGAAAGTTAGGCCTGTTAGAAAGCAGGATCAATGTCTTAAAGCACAAAACAAATCCTAAGAAAAATTCAAAACCAAATGATAAACAGCTTCCTCAAAATTCTCACCAGCATCCAGATAGTAGAGGAAAAAAAAACCAATCTGTACTCGACTTCAAAGGTACCTTTCTGTATGTCTCAAAAATTCTGTCCAAAATAATACAACTCAATGGAAAAAATCATACATGAAGCACACCAGTGGTGTTTACATTATAGCATATCTGCAGGTGGCAGCTCAGGTCACGTCTATGTTCTGCTCAGAGCGTTTAAATATCTAAAGAAAGACAACCCTTGTCCCAATACTTTTTTTCTCCTTTTGACAGGTAAGATGAGGATGAAAGAAAAGGCAATACTGTGTTAGTAGTGGTTCCCAGACCAGAGTAAGACCGAGTCACAACCTGCGGTCTTACCCCACTCTCTGCAGCCACAAGTCAGCATCTCCAATATCAAAGGCACTGCCTGCCTCTGCAGAGTGGACAAATTTAGAGGCTGCTCAGTTTTACTAATTAAAAACTTCTTGAATTTATTTTTTCAATAACTTGCAATTTGACTAGTCCTAAACTGAAACAGAGGTCTAGCATTAGAAAGATTTGGAGACCTGCTACATAAGAGCTGCATATAAAATTCCTGCCCTTAAGTGCAGCACTCTCTAACCTTCACTTTCACGAGCAGGGACTAACCACATTTATAACTACACAAAAACACACACACAGCTGCAACGCAGGGACATAAATCATCATGATTATTTAATAACATCATCAAGTTTTAATTACGCCTCTGTGAGATCACCTTTGAAAGGCAAGTCACAGATGTCTGGCCTACATAAATCAGGTGAAGATCTTGTTGATTTTCCTTTCTGTGCACAATTCTCGGAGCTGTAGATCAATGTGCCACCTCTCAGGATTCAAGTAGTCCTTCAAGCTTCTAGCTGATCTATAGCTGTGACTTTGAGGAAGAAGCTTAGTTCATTTCTCATCATAAATTGCACTAGCAGAAAAAGAGCTAATTTCTACCTGGGAGTTTATGTGGTTCCTTCAGTGTATATGTTTAGTGTCTACCCAACACAATTTTGTCTGTCAGTTCATTTCCTAAATTACAACAAAGACATTCAAGCATCCCAGACTGTTCAAGCAGTAAACAGATTTGATATGTTATGTTGTTCCTCTGTTGATTAGTAGAAAACAACAGGAAAAGGAAAACAAATTGAGAAAGATGAAAAGAGTTATACCTTCATTTTTCTACCCCATCTCCAAATGCCTTTTCCCATGAGAAACAACATCATCAGGGCTGAATTTCTTTTAGCTGTGTCAAGAACAGTTAGGTATTTGCATATTTGCATAAACCTGTCTTGGAAGGGCACAGATTACATGATGATGTTTCAATAACTCTTCGACTTGAAGTACAGCAGAGATTTATATTTCAAAGTTGCTCTGGTGAGCTGAATACAGACAATAGGGATTTCTGCATGCAAGACAGACTCCAGGAAAGGACAAGTGCACCAGACCAGACACGAGGCTGGTGTGTCACCTCACTGTCCAAACCAGTATGAACAAAAGGCCGCTAGTTCAACAGAAGCTGGTTGATAGCTGGAAGTGCTGATTAGCTCTTTCCTCCACCTTAATAAGTAGGCTATGTGTAGATATCTAGAATTAGTTTCCACTTGAAAAAAAAAAACCAAAACCAAAAAAACCCACAACAAATTTTTTTTAATGTTAGAATTTATTTTGTGCAATACTCGGAAGTAACAGAGATAACCTCTCCCTCCCCACAAAGCTATAACAGCAGACAGAGACACAGTAATACACCTCTCTAGGCAAGGTACTGCCCTTGATCTTAAGAAACTTCTGCTTTCTTCCTGACTCTGCTAAACTGCTACATTGATACTAGATACTCATCCCCCACCGTGTTTTAAAATGGCATATGGTTGTTCTAACCTCCCTTGTGAAGTTCCTGAATACAAGAAAAGTAAAAGGTTGTACTGCTGTGTAGCAAAATAATACCCATATCTATCATTAATAGGAATGTTTGAAATTAGGAACAGCCCAACCCATTATTTTCAAAATCCATTCATGATGCTATGGGGGGACAAGTTAAGGTGACTTAGTCATTTTTCTGTAAATTTAAGGCTTGGACTCATCACATTGGGAATGCATATGAAAGATAATTTACTAATCACAAATGAGCCTCCTCATTCATGGATATCAGCCATGTAGAACTGGTCTACAAAATACAACTAGAATAGATTTGATTAAGTAGATAATAAATAAAAGTGATAACATTGCTGTGTATTCTCAAATATTTCAAAAGCAGGCAGACAGCTTAAATCAATCAAATTATTCAGTCAACCATACAAACACGGTCACTGGCGTTAATGCTATCACACATAAAGGGACAGACAGACACCTGTAGTGAGGAGTAAGCCTCTGTGCTGGGGGTGGTATTAACAGAGCCTGTGCACCCTGAAACTCATCAAGAAAAGCATCCTGAAATTGCATCAGCACAATTTTGAGGTGAGGGAAGCAGTGACACAGAGCCCCGGGAAACTGGTTTGCAAAGTCCCAGGGAGAGAGGGGTTTCAAAACATCTCCCTGTCTGAAAGGTACCTGCGATCCATGTGATCCAATCTTCAGAGATCTGTGTTTTCTGTTACTGAGCTGCTGCTTAATTCTGGGTGA